CCGAAAAAGCCAGAGGGCCTGCCAGCAACTAGATATGCAAAAAGTGAGACCTGTATTTTTTTGGGTTGGAAGGAAGGCTTATAGGTTAAGAGATACAGGCTACAAAGTAGGGATTCAATTCTTGGAAGTTCTCTAAAGTCGTGGGATAACTAGCCTGAAGTCTTGATGTTTGGCAACACTTCAGTCTGCTTCAAAGTATATATTTGCACCATTAGGATATTTGAAGGTGTACACCAACCTCATAGTACCTGATGTGAGGACCTGTGTTAATTTGCATCATCAGAGCTCACCTGTTTTTGCTCCTGCATTCTTGTGGTTATTTTTGAGCTGTTTGGATACCTTTCAGTAGCCAATGTCAGGCCATCCTAAATGATGGTGCTGTTTGCCTCAAGTGAGAGAGCAACATCATCACAGAATGGTTGATGGTGGAAGGGACTCTGGAGGTCATCTGGTCCAACTGTCCTGCTCAAGCAGGGTCACCTAAAGCTGGCTGCCCAGGACCATGTCCAGACAGCTCTGGAGTATCTCCAAGGATGGGGAATCATCACTGAGGGAATCGGCAGATTCACCAGAGAAGCATTTTAACAAAAAATAAACCCAGAACAAAGTACCTTCCACTTTCAAGGAATAACACTGGTAATAGCAGTGAACTACTGTAAATTTTTGCCACTTGAAAACTTCAAGTATTTTTCTTTTCACCATTAACCTGATAGAGGCTAATACCACCCCACGAGTTCTGCTGAGATTGGTTGATACTCCTTAGTCCACTTCAGACAAAGTCAGCTGAATTAACTTAGATCATCTTTGTTGACTCTTCTTCATTTAACTTCACCTGAGGTGGATGAGGAAGCACTGTGTGATCTCTTGATAAAATAACTTGGGGCAGTATGTCTTTAGCTGATAAAGAAGGGTATCTGTTCACAGCCTTGGTGTGAGATTATGTTGCTGTGTAGCCTTACACGTACTGAACATAGATGGAGTAGACCTTTATGTTTGCGTGCATTTACTTGTTTTAAAACAAGTGAATAATCCTTCTTGTGGACCGCTGTACTTGGTTTCCCACTACAGCTTTAGTAACTCTTGGTTACACTATACAGGAAAGTTTTAAAACCTAAAATCTCACCTATTAGAAATTATTTTTATCCAGCATCTTAGAGGAAAACCTACAAAGGCAGATAACTCATTTAAATCCTTCATTATTTAAGGATATTGATGTTCCCAAGGAGACTTGGTATTGGCTAGAACCTGAAGAGGAAGACAAAAAGGATGAGGAAGACAAGGAAGATGAATCCACAAGCTCAGACTTAAGTGTAAGCTCTGCAAGTAAATTAATGGCTTGATTCAGAATTAAATTTAATAGTCCCTTAAAAATAAGTATGTATACATGTCATTTTCTAAACTGTAGTGAATGGCCTCTTCACAATCTTAGAGCAGTGATTTTTGTAGCAGCTACATGATTATCAGGGGTTTAATGTTTTATATTTTTTGCTCATCTTTGGAAAAAGTAGCCTAGTAATTAAATTCTAATCATTTTTGTGTTTCAACCAAGATACACAAGATCACGTATTTGCATGATCAAGGTTATTTGGTTTTGAGTTTTAATCTTAGATGCCTCATCTCGTGTCTTAGGCTGAATTTTAGAATCACTAAGTAATTTCTGAAAGTGCTTCACAGATTATCTCAAGATGGACACTGGAAATTCACATTTTTTGAAAACTAGATTACATAGCTGTTGTTAGCCTTAAGTGTTTGACTTGCAGAGATTAGGTTTGAAAAATTATACCGAAAATATCACATACTTGAAGTAAGGTAGCTAGGTAATATTTTTAGTGCTCTCTTCTTAGCTGGAAAGAAGGATGAGCAAACAACAGCCATTAACTTTCCAGAGATTGTGAATTCCTGTGTAAACAATCTGTTTTATTAAAGCTAGTAGCTCAAACTGTTTTATGGCACGTGAGCCCCAGATCATTGCATACATGTACATATCTCTAGGTATCAGAAAAGCTACAGATCTTGACTGCCTATTTGAGAGAACACCACTTCTATTGCATTTGGTGTGGAACAACCTATGAAGGTGAGAGCCAAACCTGTCTTGTAAGTGTTTTACTTTACTTATGCAGATAGACTCAAGTAGTACAATAGATACTTTTTCTCTTACTGCAGTCTTTTAAATCTACATAGCAAATTTTCCTTCCAGGCTGATGGTTTTTGCACAAAGCATTTGTACGTTTTGACTATAAGCCAATTTATAGGTGTTTACATGTGTACACACACACAAAAAACACACGCTAAAAACCAACCAACCATACTGGCATGTATTTGAATTGGTATTCATATTAATTTTGTTTTGAGAAAACAAAATTCAGCTATTAAAACTAGTACCATAAAAAGCTGCAAAAGCTTGCAGGTGTTTCTGAAACAGAACACTGTCCAGTTTCACTGCACCAAAGACGGTAAAACTTGTGTTCACCGTTTTAAAACAAAGTTTGGAATTACTAACTTGCAAACCTTCTTAAATTCTATTTAGTCAGCTTTACATGGATTCTTCAAGTAATTCTAGGAACTTTTTTTCCTCTTCCTCTGTGCTGGAATTACTCGCTTTTTCTCTGCTTATTCTGCAGACTCCAAAGATTTATCTTCAAACTGCCCTGGAGACAGTGCTGCAGATCATGACTAAAGCCTTTCTAAAGGAAGGAGTCCTAGAGAAGTATGTATAATTCATAATACCTTTTAGAATGTTCAGAGCTGTGCCATACTGAAGAATTCACTAAGCATGCAGAAGAGTAATTACGTTGATAGGTTAAGCACTCACATTTCTGAAGCATCTTAGGGATTTTCTGCTTGATGCACAATTTAATAGGTATTAAAACTTCACGTTTATAACTGAACTACCATAATTGAGAAGCAGGTTACACCTTCCACAGTCTTTGGTTATGCCCTGCCCAACTGAACAAGATCAGCTGATAATAAAATTCAGGTTTGAGTAAGGGAATAAATATTGGCTAGTTATTCTGTTGTGTAATGTGTTAAACAGGTTTTTTTTCATCTTCACAGAGATGACTAAACATCAGACTTTTTTTTTTTCCTTACTATCTTAGACCTGGTGGAGAAAAAAAAAAAATCTTGTGAAACAGTACAGTGATGTTAATTGAACCAATATTCTGTTGTATGTAAAGGTGCATATATTTTGCATAACTAAATAGTATCAGATCATGTTGGTGGTGGCTTTTTTATATGAAAAATACATTTTAATAAACCTTTCATTTTTAGTGAACAGCAGTTGCTATTGTAAACAGTCGCTAATAGAAAGTTACTGCTGAAGTATACAAATATTACCAAAAAAGTACCAAAAACTACTGGGATGAGCTCAATATTACTTAACAGTAAGAAGGTAGTGGGTGCTCTGTCCAAGAACTGTAAGGGATATTCAGCCAAAGTTTGTTCCATACCAATTTTCATACTATAAGAGTAGTTTTATGGGTGAAGGGGAAGAGGAACAAGTGGTATTTTGTCTGTGTCAGGATATCATTTCTCCCAGGTCTTGACCACTGCAAAGAAACACTAATTAATCCAGAATAGTGAAGTACTGTATGTATTTGTGATTCATGATAAGAAAAAAACCCACAACAACTTCAGGCCTTACAAAAGGATGTAAAAATCAGATTCTTATTTAGGGACAAATACTTGCAGAAGATCAGCAATAATTTCTGTAAGAATGTAAGAATTATTACACATTCATTTATATTACTCCTTTTAACTAAGCACCCATTTAACATTTCAGAAAAAGCATGCAGTGTTTTATTACAAATAGTGCCTACTTTTCTGTTTAGAAATCTCTGCTCATTTGCCTTTATGGAGTTATGTGGGCTCCACAGCAATGAATAGTTTGACAAGATAGAGCTCAAAGACAGACAAGCATCTGAAGGACTAACGTGCCTGTCTTCTCCCTGCTCCCCCCCCCCCCCCCCCCCAATTGCTGCAGTCTAGGCAAGATAGAACTCCTTGAGGTATATAACTAAAGGGTAACAGGCAAAGTGCTCTTACCTTCTGTGGGGCTGACAGTAAGGCCATCATTCAGTATTCAGTATGCTTGTTAGGAGTTAGGCATGCCTCAGTATTACAATAAGGGATTAAAACCTAGCAGTATGGGAAAGAATGTTTAAGGTGCTCTCAGCACAGGATTCAAATGATTACTACTGAGGAAACTCTGGAGAATTCTGCTTAAGAGGACCTTAAGTGTTCCTTTCAGAAAAAAAACCAAACCTCAAAACCTAAGGTTTTCAAAAGTTTAGAACAAATCTACAGTAGATTTCCTAGAAGCTGAATGTTTAACATTTAAATTCTCAAGGAATTCTTACTTTTAGAAGTAAGTATTTTTAAATTCTAGAGCTGTTCAGCAGCCATGTAGAGATAAGAAAGTTCACCTTAAAAAACCTGAAATTCAGTGAACAATAACCCACACCTATTCCTAGTATCTTTTCTACCAAAATTAGTCTTGGTATTAATGGAAGCATTCTAGTAATTATTAAAAACATCACTGAACAAATCAGAAAGGTTTGAGTTGCATACCACAAGACAGCACTTCTTCCACGGAAAGCAATAGATAACAACTGATAATGGCTGCAGCACATGTTAAGAGCCTGCCTACAGGGATTTGACACAGGCCAGTTAGCACCACATCAATGTAATTTTCTAGGAGACAAGGACTAGGGTCCTGTACTTGTTGTACAGTATAGTTCAGCTCATCCACAGTCTGTGTTTCCAGGTGAAAACCACAAGTGATTCCTCGCAGAAGTACACCGTCCTGGTCTGCAGCTGATGGGCATGAACAGTGATCTGACTCTTTTGGCTGATGAGCTCCTCAATGGCAGAAAGGCAAAAATACCAAGGAAAAGACATCCTAAGTCTTGCTGTTGCTTCTGACGTTTACTGTTATTTCATCAGTTTCAACAGACAAACTCTGGATTTAAACACAACCAGAAAGCCTTTTAAAAGGGTATTTACTGACTATGAGTTCTAAGTGAGTTGTTTTTATCAACAGACTTAAAAAACTCAAGTATTTCAGATGCAGAATATCTTCCTGAAGAGTCTCTTGAAAGCATCTTTTTTATTATGGGTGCCTGCAAAAAAATTAAATGTCAATAAATTATTTTTCATGAGTAAACAAACTAACTGAAATAATGTATTAAAATACAATACCTCTGTTAGAAATTGGTCAGTGAAGCTCTTTGGAAGTTTACCTTCTCTAACATCATGCCATACCTGAGATTCATAGAAGAGAACAGTTTCAGTATGTTTTCATTGATTATATTTTGCATCTCACTTTATGACCCATATAATTTATGGAAGTAATTAGGAAGATACAGATCTACAGAAAAGGTAAGGCTTCAAAAAGGAAGTAACTGAGCAGCTTGAAAGGTTTTTTTTTTCCTATTTAGTTGTACTTTGATTTGGTTTTAGCATCTTCTCGTCAACTGTTGTCCCTTTTAAAGCCTAAAAGCTTCACATTCAACAACATGTTCGTTTCAGCAATCCTCTCTATTTCAGAACCATTATCCTTCTTTCCATAATTTAAAAGTTGTGGGTTTATCTTCTTGACACATTAAAAATAAAAAATGCAAGATGACTAAATTTCCTACTGTGGATGCTACTATTTGCAAGCCAAGCAGGTGTGCTTCCTCCCTTTTACCTTGCTCAGTACCACACACTTATTTCTATGACAGTGCAGCAAATGCTACACGGAGTTCAAAGCAATGTAGAAGATTTCTAATTAGATGCTTTCAGAAACTGTCTCTGGGAAACAACTTTTTTTTTCCAGATTATCTAGCTTTCTGGGTCAACAGAAATGAGCAGTCCACATCATTCACTTTACACTAGTTAAGAGCAAAGTGTCCCTGAAGATGACAGTCATTCTTGCACACTTAGCTATACATCTGGAATCATTAGCTAGTCTTAGGGATGCTACAGCCTGGCTTAGCAAGCCCTTACAACCAGTATCCAGTAAAACAGCTCCCATGAACTTCAAGCTTTCTTCCCCTACACTTCAGCCGTAGCTTTAGGCCTGTGCCCCTGCCTGCTGGTGATCACCAGCTGAACCAGTTACTTGGCCCATAATCCTCAACTTGGCTTTTCATGACATTCTTTCAGCAGGGCTTGCCAGCACCACACAACAGTTTATCATGGTCCATTAAGTGAAATTATTTTTTAAGCTGATGGAGCAGCTGAAGACTATCCACATGCCTTCCCCATCTGCCTACAGACACAAGATTTTTATGCTTTAAGGAAACAAGTAAGTGATTGGTCTTGCCCTTTTGACTGTAAACACTGTGGACACGTTTGCAGTGTCAGCTGTGAGAAGGAACAAGGTATCTTGGAAAATACTACAAGGTAGCTGAACACAGCCAAGTTGAGCCTGTGAGTTGAGCAGACCCGTGGGTATCGTTTTCCCACACTGGCAAAAGGACCAAGCTAACAGTGTTGCAGAGCTTCTGGGTCCAACCATGTACAGGTAGCTTAGGATTACTTCAGATGAGATACTCGGCAGCTATATCTCTGTCCTACAAATAATACAGGTTTGAGCATATGAGCCATTACACTAATGTGCAAAGTACCAAGAAAAAGCAAGAGAAACATGAAAGATACTTAAGCTTTTTTTGAAAAGGTAACACCAGTTTTCTCTTTGAAGTAATATCTTTCTCAACTAAAACTACATATTCCAAATCACTTCTGTTTTCATTTTGGAAAACTGTGCGTGTTTTGGCTTGATAGAAACTTTGTTCCTGCTCCACTGTGCAGCAAAGATGAGAAGTGGGTCAGAGACAAAACTCTAAATAAGAAAAACATTCTCTTCAAATACTCTGATCAAACAAAAAGATTTATCAGGAGCTTGAAATCTTTTTGCTAGACATTCTTTAGCATGCTCAGGCTTTAATGTGTATGTATGTCAGTAGGACATAACTGAAATAAAACCAATAATATTTCTTTACTTCAGTTATTACATTTCAACTAAAGTGTGAGGACTTACGGGCCTTACAGAAATTAATTGAGGGGAAAATGTAGAGACAGTGCTCTAGATATGCACATTCCTTCTAGCATGCAGTCAGCATGCGATACCGGCAGCAAGGCAGAACAATGACAGACTTTAAAGATTACATACCGTAATTTTCTCATGACAACTGAGTGCCGAAAGAATTTCAAACCAAATTAATCCCAGTGCATAAATATCCACTTCCTTTCCATATCTGTCCCCGAACTACAAAGATTAGAACAAGAACAGTATAGGTATCAAATCCAACTGGACAGCACTTCTTCAGGCAAAATTGAAGTCAGTAGAAATTTCCACCCCAAGGCTACAGGACTGGCCCTACTTGATCTTCTTAAAGAGTCGTTAACCCCTTCTCCTGCAGACCTATTAAATAGTGACTATGTCACATTGAACACCCCAAAATTAAGACTTCCACAGACCTGTACAGATACGGCAGGCCAGTATCTCTCTCACAAATAATGAGACAAACAGAAGGACTCAAATGCCACAGTTAACAGAGGTCCTAAATTCAAACTGAAATACATGGCTGACAGCTGGCTTTTGCAAGAGCATTTCTTACAGGTTAGCACAGCAAGATAAAAATCACCACAGTTGCAGACAGCTTTCTCCAGAATAGAGTCATCTTCATACAGAGTCATATGCCAGGGAACTTAAGGCAACTTTGTTTAGCACTGAGATGAGGATTGAGAACATACAATGCTGAGTTTATAATGCAAATCTAGTTACAGAGACACTAATATAGCAGGATCATTACCTGTTCTGGTGCCATATACGATTTTGTTCCTCTGTTCTCACTCAGAGTCCCATATGCCACAGAAGTCACAAGACCTAAGTCGCCTATTTTTATTTTATCTTCATGTGATATGAAGATATTCTGAGGCTATATACAGTTTAGGAAAAAAAAAAAAAAACACAAACCACCATATGACCAAGGTTTATTGTCAAGCATGATCAACCACAGAAAAGCTCCCCATAAGATCTGATAATTGCTCACAGAAGTTAGCATTAAGAAACTGATGGGGTGGGAAACAGAAAAAAGTTCAATTAGTTTTTAAAAACACAAACTAAATGCCATGGTAACTGCAACTTTTTTTTCCCACTAGCTCAGTCACAACTGTATCATGCTTTAATGCTTTTCAAATACATTGTGCCTATAACATTACATATCCAGAAATGCTTTTTTTAGTCTTCAATCCTAGCCCTGGGATTTGATACACTTGGGCATCTAGGCTCACATGGAATTCCACTCAAACCACAGTTTCTCCTAGGCAGAGCAGGATTAGATGTACTAAGTCAATTGCAGAGTTAGGGCTTACTAAAGGCATCTCACAGTATCACTTTTAAGTTTCCATTGAACTTCCCATTTTTAAATTTAACCGAGTCATAAGCAACTAAAAACAGAATTGTATATGCTTGGATGAAGTTCTCCAAAGAGGATAAAGAAACTATATTTCTGAATGTTATTTAAAAAAAAAAAACAAATAGCCTCATGCTATCTTTTATTCGAAGAAGCTCCAGTGGACTGTAAGGCCACTGTCAAGAAAGCCCAGTGCAGTTCTCTTCAAGTTTGACCATGTCCACACACATTTAATACAGCACAATAATGTAGCACCTGGCTACACTATTTGAAGACTCCATTCATACCAGGCACAAATGGGATTCGTCTCAGCTTGAACCTATGCTGCAGCTTTGATTCTGGGACATGGGGATCTCAGATGGCCAAGCACCTATGTTGACAGCAGATGAAAGCAGGGAGAAAAGTTCCTAAATTCAAACGCAGAGAGACAAATTAGCAATAGGACTTGGAAGCAGGTTACAGCCAGATGCCATGGAAAAGTGACTGGGGCAGCAGGTTCATAGGAACAAGGAAAAGTAGGAGAACGAGCTAAGATGAAAACAAAAAATAGGGCTGAGGGAGCAAGAAGATACCAAGCACAGAGTGGGCAGAGCTAAGACTTAATGGGTGAGAAGGCACTTATTAGGCCTTTTTTCCCCAGGTATCTAGGGAAAATAATGAGTGTATATTTGTCGTTCATTCCAGTATTGTAGCCATAAGCCTGATAGAAAAGCTCTAGAAGATAGGAACATATCTGTCTGTAAGACAAGATTCTATGAGTGGGCAGTGAACATGATCTGGAACTACACTGTGAATGCAAAAAGCGGAAGATTTCAATCTCTGGCTCAAGAAGTCCATACACTTCAGGTTACTAGAGGTCTTAAGAGGAAGGGAATATGCATCAATGACAGCATCACTGTATCATCTCTCAACTCTAATATCCTCTAGGTGTTTGGAAATAGCCACTATACAAGGAAAACAGCATCCTAGATCAACATGTAACGCAACCCTCTACAGCCGTTTTTAGGACCACCACCACACTAATGACTTTTTCACAAAGCAAGCGATTTACAGCTCTGTAAGCAACATTGTATCTGGCATATGAAGCCCTGAAGGCTTGCAACTTTGTCGTTTATTATCTTTATATTGAAATAAAATCTTGTTATGACTGTGCACTTGTAGAGATGGAAATTCTATCCAAAAAAGTAGCATTCAGAAATTTGTATGCATACATGATGCAGGAGCAACTAGAGCATATGTTATCAAACACAGTATGTATTAGGATAGTTAAACTATCCCTGTACAATATGGCAAGAGCAAACTTCCTAGACTCAACTTTTCACCTTCTTTCTTTTAATTATTTTATCACCCAAGTAGTTAGTATTTCTTTTTCCACTAGGCAGTCTTGTGACCCAGAAACACATACCCTGAAAATGGCCGTTAACTGATGACTACTGATTTTTTGAACTACTACATTCTGAGATCCTCCAGTTCACCTTCTGATTTTAGGATGAAGTCCAGCCAGTTGCTGAAAGAAGATTAATCACTAGCACTATCAGAAGAGGCACACTACTAGAGTACATAATAGACTAAACAAAGACTAGAACAATTTCACTTTCATTTTTTTAAATTACCCATCCTACTTACCTTGAGGTCCCGATGAATTAACCCTTGAGAATGAATATATTTCACTCCTTCCAGTATTTGTAAAAATTTGTTTTGTGCCATCTCATGATACTTCCGGTCTTGTCTATTCTTTTCAATCCAGTTTTCCAAAGGCCCTTGTTCACATAATTCCATTTGGATGAAAAGACAAAGAATTTCTTTGTCTGACTTCTGCCTGCAAAACAGAATTATATACTGAAATATATTGAAATGGGCAAGATACAACTCCTCGCCAGCCATCAATGATTCTCAGGTCCTCTTCTTGAAAAAAACCTGGGTTTTAATTATCATTATTTTTGGAGTTCACAAAACAAAGCCTACAAGTCCCTTGATTTAAAAAAAATGATACTATAACAATTTGTACTAAATATAAATAAACAGAACCACAAACCAAAGAATCCCTGCTCAGTTGCTACATACCCCGGAATATTCCTAACATTCTGCTTGCTTGCTTGTTCGTTCACACTGAAAGTTTTCCGAGTGCCCAAATTCTCCTCCCCTCCTATCTAGAGGCATGTCCCATACAGGAAGAAACAGCACTGTCCTTGGCTCCCATCTTGCCCTCTAAGAACGGCTGCAAGTCCTTGGCAGGCGTCCTCTATTCTGCTCAATACACACAGCATTAGCCCTCCTCTCCTACCCAGAATGATCACAATCTTTCAACCTCTGTCCCTTCAGGAAGGTGGTGCGGTGACCATTTTTGACATCACCTGAGTTAGAGACACCTTTCTGAGCTGGAAATCTGGATGAAATATATTCACCCACCTGGCAGCCTCACGCTTTCCAGAAGAGTTCCCTCGCCATCAGCCCACAGGACAGGCTGAGGATGGAGGTGGCAAGGGGAAGGACAGTATGAGGAGCAGGAAGCACCACTTTTTCCTACTGGCACCGTGTGATCTGAGTGCCCTGGAAAAAAGCTGCCTGAGACACTGAAGGAGCAAGCATTAAGTGGCCCAGCACTCTCTGTAGCCTTGAGGTCAGCACTAAGTGTAATTCCAGGTTGGGACCTCAGCTTTGAGGACTTGGTTTTTTCTTTCTTCTACCCAATAAATCTTCAGTATAAAACACATAAGTGATACTGAGACTCTAAAACATTAATGGTTGGGGTTTGACACGAGCCTTCTCTTCCCCCCATTTTATTCCTCATTTACTGAGCCCACTGGACAGATATCATGCCAACCATAATCTTGAACCCATTAATATTTTTATGGCTCTAGGTAAGTGTGGCAACCTGTCTGAAGGGTATGAATTTACAGCTAGTGAAAAAAAAAAAAATCTTACCACAGAAGCTTTGAAAAGTTAATAACCTAGCTTAGGAGTAAAACTCCCACCACTGTCTTCCCAAAAGTCTTAGCGTTGAAAGGCTACATCTAAGTGAAAGAGCATTTCATTTTGTATTTATGTTCTCAACAACCAAAACTGTTTCAGGCATCACGGTAAAAAAGCTAACTTTATTAAAAGATAGCAGAAAGATAAAATTACGTAATGTACCTTCTTCATCAAGGACAAGATATAAATAATTGTATACAACCTGCTGCTGAAAAGTACTGTGCCTTTTTTCCTAACAGTAAGTATGTGTATGTATTTATATTTGTATAATGACTTATAACCAATCATCAGCCTTTCTTTTTACAACACAAAAATCACTATGGCAAACAAGTTTGTGAGTGAGAACTAATATCTTATAGTTACCTTGAGTCTGGATAAGTTACATGGTCGTACCCCTTCCAGCTACAATAATACCGCACTATGTTTTCATGGTGAAGTCTTGCAAGTTCTTTTACTTCACGCTTTACATTCCTATTGGGGGGGAACAAACCACACAAAACAAAACCAAATGGCATTTCCCTATAAAAATTAAATACTAAGTTAAGTAAAAGACATGATATCAAGTAGCAGTATACAGGTAGTTTTACATTCATTTAGAAAAAGAACATAATACTCTTCTTCATACAAGTTCAAAATTGTAGCTACAAGTTCTGTGATTTTTCTTTCATCTACTCAGTTATTCAAAGTGCAAAAATGTTTTAACCATATCAGAAATGAAAGCCCCACTCAAAGCTGAAAAAAAAAGCAGATAATAGCAATAAGTAATTACATTAGATAGCCAAACACAATGTAGCAAACACCCATGTTTTCTTTCTACCTCTATGAAGTTTGTTTACATATACAGAAGTCAGTGTAAATACTCTGAGGAACTATTACCAAATTTGGCCTATGCTTGTTGTTGTAACATTGCCTAGTGAGGTAAGCTCAAACGCATGGGCAGACCAGCAGTCCTTATTTGAAGATTCTTCAAATAAGATGACTTATTTAACTATAATACAAGTTATTTAAACTATATAAAAAACATCATATACTTTTAGTATTTAGTATAGTTCTCCGGATTGCAATACAAATGAAAATAACATATATTGGTGAAGAACAAAAGAATTTGAAGGGCAGTTGCACAATGTAAGCAACAAGTATCTCCAACAACTTGCAACTTTTCGAATAGACTACCTGAAAGAAATTCAAGTTTTTCAGCTGCTGATAAAATACTCCACTAGGTACTGGGTACAGAAAATCACTTTAAAAATAAGATCATTATGCTCTGTTGAGATTTATGAAGGACAAGTAATACAGTGTGAGAATAATGACCATGTTGGTCATATATAAAGCATTTTCCAATTACAAACCACAAAATGTATTACTTTTTCTCTCTAATTATAGTTGTTATGCATTACTGATACGTAAATTTTCCATTTAACCTGTGAAAAAATAATAGCGCTGCTTTCAGTATTTTATTAATCAGCAAGTTTTCTTCAAACACATTTTGCAATATTAATAACCAGAGCACTAGTGTGTTCAGGGAAAGTAGAACTTAACAAATCTACTTTTTTACGGCTGCATCTGAAATTGTTCCTATGCATGCAAAAATTAACAAAGCTGCATGCCATTTTCAGCTTCACTTAGAAATAAAGAAAACAGTTTACCAGAAAGAATGGACAATTAATAATGAATATTGCCTAAATGCTCCTAGGATTATAAAAGAGACAAAGCAAAGTAGTAAAATCTTGATTAAGTTTGTCCTAAAATAAAAACCAGAAGTAAATATACAGTACATACTTTGTGAATTGAACTCGTTTGACTGCATAGGTTCCCTCATCAAGCTTTGCTGTTGCTTTGAAAACATTCCCATAACCACCTTCACCAATAGGCTCGATATTTTTAAAACTCTCAAGAAATCTTAAAAACAAACAAAAAAAACCAACAACTGAAGCATACTTAACATTAAATTTACAAGATCTAAAAATGATCCTGGCAGAGGTAACACATTTGCTGAAATATCATTCTACAGGGATCACTCAACACCTATGCAGGTCTAAATCATAGCCTTGAAGATTTAAAAAAACAAGGCAAATGGACCCTTGAAAGCATGTAGGATAATTACCCTCACATCTTGACACAAATGACTTTTGGTTGTAAGCAGCATATATCACTGCACGTCAGTTGCTATACTATATTTGAAATTTCCATTAAAAAATTAATATATCAAATACCAATTTTCTTTGAAAGTTACTTTTACAGCTGTGTTTTCCCACATTCTATGATAAATAAACAAGCAAATCTAGACCACTACATACTGTAATTACCATACAGATCTCATGAAAAAAAAAAAAGCTTCTTGCCTTTTATTCACAGTGTATGGATTTTCATTCTCCTCACTGGTATTTGTGTCCAAATCTGGCAAACTTTCATCTGAATCTGACATCGTTTTCTCTTCTTTGTTTCTTGCATTATGAAAATTAGCTGCCAATTTTCTTTAACAAGGATAAAAGCAAAACTTATAATGAGCCATTTTTCTAATATGTGACGAGAAAAGAAATGTACCTTCCAACAGCAGAACAGCGGCATTTCTTTGTTAGATACAGAAACACTAAACTGGTCTGCAATATACTTTACAGGAGATAGCAAGCTAGAAATAAACACGTACCTTCTGGATTTCAGGGCAGAACTTTGTGCGTGTCTCTACATGAAAAAGAGAAAAAAAAAATCTAACTGAAATATCCTGAATATTTCACTATACTTATATATAAAATGTGCCTGAGAATGTATCTAGGAATTGTCTATAAATGTGTTCATGCCTCATATAAACAATGTAACAAGAATGAAGCCATATCTTAGCTTAAATTTTTCACATATGCCATGTATGATATCATCATTCTTCCCACAGAAAAATATGATCTTAGTCTGATCCCCTTTCTTGGGAGTACTGCCCATCTGGTCACCAGTACATAAATTGGCTCCACAGTACAGAAGTAAATGGCTAATGATTAACAGTAAGAAAGTACTGAATATTCTTAGGAAAAATGCACATGTGTTTTCTAGTGATTAGTGGATAAAGGAACAAACTGATGCTACACTCTGACAAGAAGCTTATCCTATTCAGGGTCTAAAATGTAATTACGAGGAAGACCATCTTCATACCTGAGAAGGTGAAGGCTTTTTACACACTGCCATGTCTTTCATTTTTTCTACCAGCTTTGCAGATGAGACTTGAAAGCAATTAGTGCTGTTACTGAAAAATAATAGACTAGTTTTAGGGCAAAGTAACTCAATCATACATAAAATGATTGCCACAATAAAAAAAGCAGCATAAAAAATACACAGTTTTTAAAAGCAAAATCTGAAAAAGCATTAATAATCATGACTGATTCAAACTACAAAACTTTATGCTGGAAAGTTAGTAAAACAATAGCATTTCATAATATACTCCTCTATTTCTATTATATGATATCGCATGTGTGTGTGTGTATATATATATATACACGATAAATGTTCTATTATATCCTTTAATTAAATAGATTAAATCCAGAGGTTTATTGCAATGCAGTGCAGCTGCCTCTAGCATTGTACACATCAGCTTGCTTTACAATTGCACAAAGAACATAAAAGAAGTGTTAGTGGCAATACAGCCATATTAACTGCTGGACATGAAAGGCTTGACCTAGGGTTCCCAAATCACAAATGAAAGTTCATGCATGTCCATTTTCTTTCTCTAAACAAATTTTCCCTTCAGTGGAAATGAAGATTTACGGAGAATGAAAAAGGAAAAAAAAAAAATAGAGAAGAAAGCAGAATGTGGAGCACAGAAAAGTACTGAAATTGAATTTTACTGAATTCACAAGACTATCACAATAGGAAAAATGAGTGTTAAAAATGGCATGAAACAATGTTACTCAGTGAGGTAGGTTAACCCGTTTACATCACAGTATAAATGGTTCTGAAAGAACTACTCATGGCAAAATATAATCATACCAGAAAGCTCTAAAATCATTATAAGCTAACCTGTAAGAACTCACATAAAATTGCACAAGTACAATAAATTTTGCTCTGAAGTCTAAGAAACATAAGCTCAAATTAAAAGGCATTATACTGCAGTAAAGACACTATGACAGATTTTATTTAGAACCAGATCACAGGACCCTCTAAAAGTAGTAAATACATTCTGTTATCATATTATCAGTGACTCCAACTTACCCCAAGTCAGACAGAGTTGGCATTTGAGAGGAATTACTATGTTCACTAAATGTAGAACTGCCGTTAGATTTTTCACTTCCCATCTGAAAAAAAGAAAAAATAAGTATGGTTAACAAAAATCACGCAAAAAAAAAAAACAAACCCTAGTGCAAGAGATGCCATGCAAAGAGGGGGGAGGGAAGATTAGAAGGCCCTAAGTGGAAGCTGCGAATGGCACTGAACACTCGAAGCCCTGCAGAAGAAAGGCATCTGCCCAACTCCCACCCAGAAGAGGCAGGGCCCTGTCACAGTGAGCCTTTTCCCACTCGTATCGAGACTACGTAGACACATGTGCAGAAGTGGAGTCTGAAATCTACTAAAAAAAAAAAATCAGGGTAAGAGTAACAGTTATTAAAAGCAAACGTTTTCATTGTTTACTGTACATGCAATTGCCTGTGTGGAAAACGAGGTAACTGCAGGCTTTGGTATATGTAATCAGCAGAACTGACAACCTGAGTCTGTACAAAAAGACATTCAATGTCTTCAGCGTGATAACCCCGCAAAACCTGGGTTACTAAATCAGGGTCAACTAAAAAAAATTAATCCTAAATACTTAGTAGAGGTTCTTCCCCTTCCCTCTCCAAGTCATAAGAGCATAAATGTAACATTGAAAACAACACCTACAATTGTTACAGACCATAACCAGACAAGATGTAAAAAAACTTGAGGGTTTACGTTTCCTGACAGCCAACAAACAAAACACTTTTTATTTAGGGAGTACTGGGCCCTTAAGATTTTTTGCTAGTTACATTTTGTTTGTTACACAGACACTGCAGGGAATTAATAAAAATTAAAACCAAACCAAAACAACCCACCCCAAATTTAGAGTAATTGCTACAGAGGTTCTGCTTGAGGTAGTAAATTTCAGACTTTCGTGAAAATGCAAAGACCCATGAGCTCACCACACAGGAGAATATTAAGGAAGGATCCTAGAGCTATAATAGGCCATTAATTACATGGTCAACTTAAAAACAACAATAAAAGGATCATTTAAAATTCACAGTAAACAGCCAAATAATTTAAAAAAAAGTGCTTAAAGTAAAAAAGATTTCTTTCCCCCCTGTACTGCTTTCCTTCCCTTTAAACTACACTTCATTTAAGTTAGTTCATATGTACTGTTCTGTGCATTTCGGAAGTGGGTTTGGATAACTATTAGAATTGACAATTTTTTGCACGTGTGGAAGTACGATCACCAACACGAAGACTCTGCTCTCCAGACGATGGTGTTAGCAACTACTGCACTGGACTCTGCCTTGGAACACTACAGAAGGCAAGTCCTGTTGACTCTCACTCCTGCCTTTCTCACATTTCACAATACAGTTTTTGATCTAACAGAAGGCAGTAAGAGATTTATGTTCATAGCCAGTCAGCTCGACTTCTTCACTGTCAGCTCGACACTTCACACAGAAGACAACCAGTACATTAGTCAGGATTCAGAAATTTTTAATATATGTACATCCTTGAACAACAACATATCAGACCATATTCTGAAATACACAGAGATATCAACTGTGATTTTTTTTTAATCCAGCAACTGAATATAGAAACTCAACATAAGTTTTACCAACAAAATCGTGTAGCCCAACCAATCCACCAAAATTTGGATTGTTTCCCTCAAGGGGAATCCATGGAATATGTTTTTAAATACAGTGAGGAAATATGTTCAAAGATTAACGATAACATGAATTAAAATTCTATCTTAAGGCTAAATATAGCACATACTGTTAGAGCGCCTTCCTTATTTAGCTTCTCATATGCTTGTTTTGCAGCGGCTTGTTTTGCAGCAGCTAGAGAAGTTCCAGTACCGATGCCATACACAAAACCATTAATTGTACAGCTACAAGAAAACCTGTAAAATACAACAGGGAATAAAGTCTTATATCACATATGACAAGTCTTAATTTAATGATTTTGAACACTACAGTCAACAGACATTATAGAATGGAAATCTGAAATATACATCTTCAGGGCAGTATTTCAAATATACATTTAATCTAATTAATAATGGTAGATCACAGAATAATTAAGGTTGGAAAAGA